AGGAAGAAGTCAGTAAATGTGCCGCAAAAATTCAATGCTCGTTGCACACCTTTAGCAAGCCCCTCCTTATCCCGCACCAGCACAACACCCCATCCATGCGCTGCCCGCTAACCCGTAGTCGTTTGCACCAGTATTCTGAGTGCAAGACAGTCTGAAAAGACAACGGGCGATTCGATGTAATGCAAAAGGGCAAGAAACGTGGAGACATACAACTTGTAACCACTTGTCCTCGAAGCGCTAGTCTCCATCCTCTAACAGGGAGGTGTGGTTGCAGAAGCTTCCGAGCGCGACTGGCTATGTGGAGTCCATAATCGTGGTCTTTGGCCCGTTGTGGAAGCTACAATGTGGAAGCTACACAAGAAAAGTAAGCAAACATGGGCTTACAGACCGGCTAGCACACCTTCCTGCTCCCCAGCCTATGGCCTCGTCAAGCTCCTGCTTATTCACGCTCAAGGTAGGGACTTGAAGTCGGGCACAACAGCGGCCGCGACAGAGTACTCGCTCCACAAGATTATTTGCGCGATCGCCGACAAGGTGGCCGAGCAGAGGAAAAGCTGTCGTCATTGTGGAGGGAAAAGAAGAAGAAGATCGCATCCGCCATACGTGGCTCGCCCCAGTGCTCAAGGAGAGGTGCGGGCCTCACAATAGCGCATCTGCTGATGCTGCTGACTTGTGACATACTTTCTCACAACAGTGAGAAAAGGCAAGAAAATGCCAGAGTCCTTCAAAGGGCTCCAACAGCAACTAGAGCTAACAGCTCAAGAGAATGAGAAGCAAGAGAATATGATAATCAAAACTACTCTACTACATGTCTTTTATACTAAAGCATACAGGAGACAACTCAATAAGAGGAACAGGAACCAGGAACATAACTACAAGAGGAGCCCAGAAAGACGGCATATGCGGATCAATGCTGACTAAGCACGGCTGATGAGCCTCGGAGGCTCGTCACTTGTCTCGCTAGTTCTTGCCCACATCCGAGTCCCGCGGATGTTCGTCAGGTCGTCAGGTCTGCCATCTTCGTCAGGTTGATGGGGATCTTCATCAGGGTGTCTTACTTTTGTCAGGTTGTTTGCTAGTGCCGAAATCACCCCGTGCGACTGTGAGTCGCAGGGGTAACAACTGGCTCGGCATAGGCCTACGCGACTGGCGGGAGGGGCAGGTGGCAGCGGGCGGGAGGGGCGCGCGCGGCGGGACGGGAGTGTGGCACGGAGTAGGGGCCCATTACACGAGCCCACTTGCCCGATTTGGAGGGAAACGGGCGCGAATTGGGTGCGGGAGAAGCCGGGAGGTGGAGGAAGGGGGAAACCGGGGACGGTGCGCGCAGGACCGAGTCTGCAAGTGATCGGGACATGCCTGCGTCATCGAATGACGTCAGGTCGTCCGATCGCGGGGCTCTGAGCCCGAACCCGCTGTGTGACTCCTAGTCACGCGTTGGCACGCGTTGGCCGACGCGATGGGCGGGAGGGCGGGCCTTGATGGGCAGGAAGGAGACGCGGCGGCGGCGGCGCAAGTGAATCGGGGGGTGCATAGACGTTGTCCGAGCTCCTCTGCCGCGTTTGACACGAAACGGCCCACGTTTGACCTCGGGAGAGGGCGGGAGGAGTGGGGCAGGGCAAAAGGGAGGCGGGCGCGGGTGGAGCCGAGGCGCGAGCGCGGCGGGCTGATAACGCGCGCTGGTGTAGCCCAGGGCTATGCGAACCATACTGCACGGCCGCAAGTCGAACGAGTAAGAACTCGGCCCGCGTCGGCCAACGCGATGAGCGGGAGGGCGGGTGGCGGTGGGCGGGAGGGGCGCGCGCGGCGGGGCGGTGAAGCGGCGGGGTGTAGGGGGCCTATGGACGAGCCCAGCTTCCCAATATGGAGGGAAACGGGTGGGAATTGGAGCCGGGAGGAGCCGGGAGGGGGGGGGGAGGGTGAAACTGGGGGAAGGTGGCAGCGGACCGAGGTCTGGCTCGATCGGGTGGGGCCTGCGTCATCGAATGACGTCAGGACGTCCGATCGTTGGGGTCCGATCGCGGCCCCAACGTGTCACTCCTCGTCACACGTCGGCCGACGCAGTGGCCGGGAGGGCGGGCTATGCCAGAGGCGGCCGGCGCTGTGCGCAGAAGGCGCAGGACGCGCAGGGCGCAGGGGCCATCAGCTGTCAACCGAGAATTTCCGGCTCGCACGTGAGTGGGAGGTGCGTTTGCGGTAGGGGCCATCAGCTGTCAACCGAGAATTCCCGGCTCCCGATCGATCACTAGGTGTGGAGTGACTTGCCTGCGACGCGGGCGGAAGTGATCGGTGCGCTGTCACTGACATTTGCGTCGCTGACAGGTGCCGGCTAGAGACGTGATGGCGGGTCGGAATAGTACTCGTATAGGGCCCGACCAGGTGGGTCAGAGAGAAAACCAAGTCTTGCAGTTTCAATGAGGGAAGAAGCTTGCTTTCGACCTTCTTTGGAGAAGAATTTGACACCGTTAGCATCGAGGAGATCTTCGAATGCACGGAAGAGTGCAAGTAAGTCAGCTACCAGCTTCTCTGCACAGGGAATATAGCGCCGGATGCGTCGATGGAGTGAACGCTTCTTTGCTCGAATTGCATAGTCCCAATTGATGCCCTTTTTCCGCAAAATCTCACGAACCTTGGCTTCATCCTCTCCTTCCCGAATGAAAATAATCTCACTAAAGAGATGGGCAAATTCTCTGAACGCAGGATGTTTTTTGGAAAGTAGACGGAGTAGTCGGTCCATGAAGTGATATGCGTCGTCAAGAACTCGACTGGCCAGTGTATCAGCTGTGTGTGATTGTTGAAGAACACTCCGGGCATGCTGGATTGATTCAACAAGAATATCCGCTAGATCATCTGCAGAGGGTTCGGGTGCATCTGACTGTGACAGGTCAGACTTCACCTCTCGAAATCAAGAGAGAGAAATTGAGGACTGACCACTAGCTCTGTGCTGTCACTATCATCCTCAGATACAATAGTCGTAGGGCCATCTGGGGTAGAAAATGACGTTGGGAATGAAGGAGTTGCCTGAGCGAGTTGCTCCATCACTGAGGGAATATGTACCGTAGCTGGTATACCCAAAGAGGTGTCGTCAGTCAACTCAGTGGCCGGATGAGGTGGATCGGGAGCACGAGAGCGCAGTGTACGTGTCTGGACTACAGCATGATCGCCATGATCAAACAGCCATTCAAGTGTATGTCCATTTTTGGCAACAATGAATCCAGGAATAAAGAGTTTTGTGAGTTTGATGGCCGAATAAGCTTTAGTAACAGGTATGACTTGGACAGTACCACCTTCAGAATTGGTGATCGATCCATTGTGCGAAACCAGCTCTCCCCACGCCTGAGTTTTCTGTCCGATCACAAACGCAACAGGCTCGCCTGGACACATTTGATTAGGTTGGAGTGGGAGACCAACAGAGCCGGCCATCATAAAGGCAAGCTGAATGGACCAGATACTGTCGATTTCACGAGCAAAGTGTTCGACCTGATTAGCGATCGGAATTTCTCTGGTCGTCAAGTCGGGCAGCAGTAACTGGTGCTTCAAAATCACACCGACCAGTGTTGGTAATGTGCAATTAGGAGTGGCAGCAGCACCTTTCAGTTTTGCAAGCTTGCCTAGGTGGATGAGACTGGGTGATGGCCCTGAAAAATGCCAGAGTGACTCTAGTCGTTTTGCTGAGACGTGAATGTCGTGACCAAATTTAATAATGTGTGGATGGGTAAGAACAGATCTCAAGCAGAACGGAATATGCCCTGGCATTAGGCTTTGGGTCTAAAGACAATCAGAACAGATTCTCAAATAAGCATGAAGACACAAACATGAAAAACTAAAATCTTATCCTTTGTTCGCATCTGGATAATGTTGATATTATCCTGCTGAGAATGTACCATCAACGCTATAAATATAGAGTCGTCGGCTGGGAGGGACTGAAGAATTTCGTCACAAAGTGTATCTATGCGTTCCGCAGAGCTTGCGAACAAAGGCTGTTGTGTAAGCTTGAACTCGGGAAGGTCACGGAAGGGGTCGAGAACAGTATGTTTGACATTCCTTGCAAGCGATGGGGTATTTGTTTCATGCCAGTTACGCTCCTCTATGCGAGCTGTAAGTAGCCATTACTAGTATTGAATCAAAAGCTCAGACGTACTCCGTGGGTTATCTGTATACAAGAGTTCTGTTGGAGGGTGCCCATGGCGTTCAAGTCCTACTTGTAGCTGTTGATATAGCCCAGTAAGCGGTGCAAACCCCTGCGTTAGAGCAAGACCATAGAAGCGGACCTCCTCCATCTCATTCACTGCCTCATAAAGTGCCTCATGTATGGGCTCGCCACCAGGAAGTCGACCTTGATGGTCTACGGTCTAGAAGATACTTGAGACTATGACCATTTTTACAGTAAGAAAACGTACTTTGAATGTATGGTCAGCTTTGAGGACAGAACCAGACAGGGACGACATGATGCGGTCGATAAACAAACGATTGGCAGTGAACCACGAGATGAAGATGCTCTTAAGATACTTTCGCGATGGTGCATAGCCTGCAAACTTTGTCCTGTCGTTGAATTTAGAGAACACGGGAATTTGGCAAGGGCCACGGAAGCCAAAGTGAAGAGCAGCATGTAGATACATTGCCTCGAGTCGACTGTGATGAAGGTGCTTGAGCTCGTGGACCATCTTAGAGAAAGGCTCGGCGCCGAATCGTCCCGCAAACGCAGGCTCATGAACCAACCCTCGTTGCAGAGCTATTCAAGCTAGATACGAATCGTGTATTCAGATCCCAAATCCGATAATTTTTTTTGATTTCCGATCATGTCGATGTTACGTGAGGTTTTTGGAGGTGGTGCGCTCTGCAAGAGGGCTGGACCAATTGACCCGCGCCGAATCGGACCGGGGCAATTATCCCCGGTTACTCTTGTCACCAGCGTTGACTGGCCGCGTCCACTCATTTGAGCCGCCTACACTCCTTCCACTCTTATTATATCATCTTTTAATCCACCAATTCACCGTTCCGAGATGGCATCCACTGTTGACGCGACATCTATCAGCCCTCAACAGGCTTCTCTCCCCACGACCTCAGTCTTTCGACATCCCAACGACACACTTTCAATTGCACCCCAGCCTGCCACTGCACCTTCCGGCATACCACCAGCCCCACAGCGTGTCTGGACTTTTGCGAGACTTCGTGACCTTGGGCAAGAGGTCTTCGGCAAGAGACTATGTTTGCGTCAAATGCAGCCAGCTTTGGCGCTGCAGAGTGGGAAGGATGTCGTTCATCTATCCGCCACAGCATCTGGAAAGACGATGACCTTTCTCCTTCGGCTTCTCATGGCTTGCAGAGATGGTGAGGACAAGATGGTCTTCGGGATAACGCCGTTGGTGATGATTGGGAAGCAAATGGAAGTGCAGCTGGCAAAGGTGGGGATAAAATCAGTGAATCTCACTGCGGAGAACAATAAGCCAGAGATATACCAGGTGTGTTACCCCACTCTTTCTTCGAGTTTCTGTGTTAACACTGTGTTAGGCCATCATACGAGGTGAATACCAAGTCGTTACAGCTAGTCCGGAAATTCTGGATGGCGATCGCTTTCACAACCTGTGGAAGCAGCAGAAGGTCAAGGACCGACTCCTCTATATAGTATTCGACGAGGCACACTGTATTACAACCTGGGGCAAGACTTTCCGCCCCCACTATCTTCGCGTTGGCAATCTGCGTCATCTCCTCCCACCCCATGTTCTCTTCTTCGTCACTTCTGCAACGATTCCAGAATGGATGCTGCACGAAATCAAGAGCATATTACGCTTGCGCTCTGGTGATGGCAGCGCATATTTTATTCATTCAAATGACTGTCCCAACATTCGACTTCTTGTACGGCCAATGCAATATGCTGTCGCAAGCTACAAGGATCTCGCGTTTCTGATCCCACCTGGCTTCAAGTCTCTTGATTCTCCTCCGCCAAAATTTCTTGTTTTCTTCGACAGTATTCCCGCATGCGAGGACGCGATTGAGTACTTGCGTTCTCGGTTGCCATCAACACTACGTGCAAAGCTGCGATACTTTCATGCCACGATGACATCAGAGTACCGTGCCGACACCTTTGAAGCTTTTAAATCGGGCCAGATTTGGGGTTTGGCTGTTACTGACGCATTTGGAATGGTATATTCTTCCTTTCTTTGACGCACCAACTACATGAACTGAATTGTGACAGGGATTGGACCTTCCTGACGTTGAGATTGTCGTACAATATCGCTTGACCCGTGGTGGAGATGCGTGCACGCTTTGGCAACGAATTGGTCGTGCTGCTCGTGATCCTGCCATTGAGGGTACTGCTGTAGTGCTTGTTGATGAGAGTACCTACGACCATCATCGTATTGCAACTGTCGCACGTTCGCAAAAGAAGCGTAAGACCCCCGATACACCTTCTGCTGTGGTTGGAGCCAAACGCCGCAAACGCGCTGATGGTTTGCCTGTTGTGCCCCTGGCATTAGTATATGCAGGTGGCGAGTCGACCGTACCATGGTCCGGTGCCTTTCTTGGTATAGACCCATCACCTTCTGCCCGTAAGGCACGCTACTTGCTACCGCCAGATTTGGAAACAAGTTCAAATCCTCAAAAGAAGAACGACAAGTCCACTCTCCAACTTGGATCAGCTCTTGATGACATGGTCAATGCTGCAGAGCGTGGATTGCTCTGTCATCGAGAACCATTTTACTTGTACTTCTCTTATAAGCAGATGCGTAAGTTGCTTATATATAACTTTCTGTGTCTCGATTTGCTGAAATATATCAGAACCACCTTCACATATCAAGTGTGACGAAACAATAATTGGCGGTTGTCAGCGCTGTAAGCCGACTATCCCAAGAATTTGTTGCGCTCTTTGCCATCCCACCGCATTTGACCATATCGCCCCAATAACACTCCCACGTCTTGTAAAACCAGCAAAGACAAGTGTAAAAAAGGCATATGAGCTCTCGGCGACTGGTAAACATATTCTCGGTTGCCTGGAGGTTTGGCGTGAAAGTACAGCTGAACGCACTCTCGACAGCTGTGTTCTGGATATGTATGGTGTTTCTGCGCTCATGTCAGACAATATCCTGCTGCGTCTGGCAATATGCGCAGATCTCAAGAAGCTTCCGGATGCTGCAGCCATTCAACGCGAGACCTCATGGCAGAGCCAGCTGGTAGAAGAATATGGTAATGACATACTAAGCATTGTTCATAGTGTACAGCCCATCCCAGAACGTATGTCCACGATTTCAACTCCAAAAGCTGTCCGACTCTGTGGTAACTGCCGACAACCAGGCCATAACCGTATGTGATTTACATGATTTCTTAAACCTTGGCTGACATGATAATGACTTAGGTGCTACCTGCAAGGCTCCAAGTAATAAGGAAAATATTCCTCCAGCTACACCCGGGCCAATTACTGCAAATACTACTATTGCTTCACCTGCTATAGGTAGAAGCCCCTTGATTAGTCTCATTATCAATAATGCTACTTTCATGTAAATTTATTCAAATCCGTCCTCATTCAAGTCCTCCTCCTCCTCAACTTCCTCTTCGTGATCTCCAAGCTGCTCCTGTTGATCTTCATCCCCACTCTCATCCTCACTATCATGAGCTAAAACAGCAGCTCGGTTTTCACCACGCATAGCTGGCAATTGTGTCACAGAAGACGTGTGCTGTCCAACCTTGAGTAGATCTTCAATCTGATAATCTGTGTAGCGTGGAATATCTGTTTCATGTGTTCGATGGGAATGAAGCTAGCGCTCTTCACCAAGGACATGAAGTGTAGTCTTGAGATTTGGAGGAGCATGCTTTGTACCACGCCCAGATATCCGGAACTGCCGGTCGACTTGCATACGTGCATTCTTGAAAACCCCCAGAAGTGCTGACTCTTTGATGATATGCTGCTTGTTATGGTTTGAAAAGCGACCACCATAGATACGCTGTAAGAACAAATTATTGTGCTCAACTTGCCAGTCAACCCCACGAAAACGTCCAGGTAGGCCAGTTGGATTAATAAGAATATTCATCCGCACTGCCTGACGTAGGCCTTCGGGATAGCGTTTCAGTACATCTCGCAAATACACCTTGAGATAAAGTGTGTAGCGGTGTTTTTTGGTCGCAGTAAAGATATATGACCAGGGAAGAAAGCACGTCTCAACACGCCCAATGTCTCCGATGTTCATCCCATAGCTGATCTCCTCATATAGAAGAAAGATTTGCTGCCGGAGAAGCATATTTTCCCGAACCATATCCCGACCCCCAGTAGACTGTTTTGCGTAACTTGGATATGATGTCACGTTTGGCAACATATTCCATCACAATGCGACGCGAGACTGCACAGATATCGTCAAATAAGGGCATTGACTCGGCGTACTTCTCCAAAGATGTCCACTGAGAATTAATCTTTTTGATAAATGTGCGCCAAATATCAAGTCGACAACCGATTCCCGTGTGAAGGATGATTTCGTGCATCAGTCGGAAGCCGGGTTTTGTCTGGATCTTACTGGATTCCTTTCGCCGAATTGTCTCAGCATGATGAAAGAGACTGTATTTGTCGGTATCTTTTCGAGCAGGTTTGGCAGCAATAAATGCACGGTGAATTGCGTCAGCACAGGCCATCTTGACATGGAAAAGACCCATAACATAGACAATGTTCTCCAAACGACGCCATGCTGTGCTTTCTTCACTGCGTGAAGCCTTTGCACTCTGAATGCGATCTCCCACCCCAAGATCTCCAAAGACAAGAACTATGCGGTTGCCCAGCGGAGTTGTGTTTGGGTGTTGCGCAGGGTCGCCAAGTCCAGCTTGCTTGACCAGCATGTCCTCCAGAATTGTTGCATTTTCTTGCGCTGAAGCACATGCCGAGTCCATCATTCGCAAATGAACAAGCTCAGTCTTCTGAAGTGGAATGCAGTCCACCGGGCCACCAGAAATTAGCGCTTCACCGCTGGAAGCGCCAATTTGTCACGCTGGAAGCGCCATGCTGTGACATCTGAAGCGCCAAAGTCGTGACACATTGGTGTTCACACACATCAATATGAATTGATAGTCTAAATGATAGAACAGAAACTACTGGACAGCTCTTGAGATTGGTGTTATTTTGCCTTATGGAAGCGCCGGAGATGAATATATACATGAGTGCTAGTGATATAAGCTGTTTTATTGAGAATTTGGTAGAAAATCTTCTCATAATCAGTCAATACCCGGTGTTTGGAGTTGACTTAGATTTTATTTTCTGTGCAAAGGGCTGAAAATTTAAGTGGAAATTCAAATGGGCTATATGTATGGGTACAGTAGGGATCTTGGGAGCTTATTTATTCCAACCCTAATTTTTTTGGACTTCATACATTGTCACGCTGCAGCGCCAAAGTGTGACTTACATGTCACCCTGCAATGCCAAATGTGTAACATGCAGCGTCAAGTGCGTGACGTGCAGCGCCAATGTAGCGTCACAGCAGCACCAGTGCGACGGAACTGCAGCGCCAAAATAACGTGGCTGCAGCGCCAGTATTAAATGTTGCTGCGCCAACATTCCGTGGCGCAGCGCCAACATTCTGGCGGTGCGCGGCGCTAACTTGGCTTTACTGGAACGTGAATACTGCAAGTGATCACTGACAGTGGATACTATTGTGAAATTTTTTGGTAGATACCCCGACTTCTAACTTCATGCGAGGAGCCTTCGAGGCAGCAGCCCGGATCCAGATCCCACGAGCAGTATCATGCTCATTAACAGTCATTTGTCTAAAAGCGGCCCAACGACAGCTCACGCTATCACATCCTCGGACCTGGGGTACTGGAATGCCCCGGCGCGTGCCGGTCCAGTCCCTGCAAACTCCCGAATGTCCATCCCACCTCCACGCGTCCTGGAGCAGTGCCGCGCCACCCAGACTGCCAGTACCAGTAGTTCGTTGCAGAATGTAACTGGCGCTTGACGTTGAAAGCGGCCGCTATGCTCGCACTTTCAGCGTCATACGGCTAAACGGTGAGAATGCACCAAGCACAAACAGAAACCGAGACTCACCATTGCCAGTAGCACCTGAATACTAGACTGTACGCACGTAACAGCAACGAACGACTAGAAAAACGAGTCAGCGGACACCCCTGTGAGCAACCACAACAAGCACATACACATGTTGGAGGCGGGCGAACCTGGAGCCCGTCTTATAAGACGGCCACCCTCTTGCAAGACGATAGGGGCTTCTCGAGAAACCTCTGCGGAACCCAGTCAGCCATCGACGTCGTTGGCGATTGGCAAGGTGCTGACTCACCGGCTAGCTCCCGCACCCACCAGATTGCCGAGACGCACTGTCAATGTGCGACTGGAGCTACAAGGGTGGGATGCGGCAAAAACGGGTAACGGCAAAGGCCCACCGTGACCACTTGGCCAGTCATCGCGTCATCGCACAAACAGCGAAGCAATGGCCCCCCCACTTGTGATCCTACTGGCGGACGGTGAGCAACTGAGCATACACGACGACTGCCACGCACCATCAGTACGTTGTCGCTCTTCAAGTCGAGTCCAACGGTGCCGAAAGCCTGGGAAATCATCTGCGACGCGCATGGACTGCCTTCGACGACACATAAAGGCAGCGCAGATGGCGGGCGGGGTTCAAGTTGCACCTGTACACGGGGTTTTTTTTAAAAAAGCCTTCTCATTACCAGTGTTAATGTTTTTAAAAAATGCCTCTAATTTATGCCCCTGCCAAAAGGCGGGTTTTACATAGGGAAATGAGAGATCAAAAAAAGGTTTAAAAGGTTGAAAAGCCTTGTCAGGGTGGGCAGTGTGGTAGCTATAAGGCCCCAGACCTGACGTGTGGAAAATTCCTTAAGTATGGGGAAAATACTGAGTAGGGGAAAGGCTAAAAAAGAGGAGAAAAATTGTTGATGCCAAGGTGCCAAGAAAGATACAGAGTTTGACAGCGTGGATTTTATTAAAATGAGGGGAAGACTTGTAAATCACTGATGTTTTTTAAAAATGTTAATATTCTAATTACAAGAGATGTTTTTAAAAAAAACCCCGTATACGCCTGCAAGTTGGGGCGGCAACGGAAACCTAGACTAACAAGTCAGCTCTGAGCAACCACAACACACACACATACTACATGCCGCCATTTTAATCGGCAAGCGGCGCGGCGGTCCGCCTCCGACCACCAATGGCGCGCGCAACGATTGGCACACTACAATTTCAGCCCACATAGCCTCCACAAGGAGCACACACGCACCTCGTTACTCTACCAGTGGTGTGTGCATGTGAGTGACGCCGCTGCCCTTCGAGTTCGCCAACGACGACTCGGACAAGGTGGGATGTCGGTATGGAGTCCGACTGTGTGCCGCTAGATGTGGAGGTATTGATGCAGCGGATGCTTGCGCGATCCGTGGATTGAACTGCAGAGCAGATTCCGCTAGGGCCAGCATGGCGCCCGGATTCCTTACGGTCGCTTCGTGGCGTTCCTGACGGCGTTGGCGGCCGGCGGCGAGGTCGAGCGACGGGCCACCGACATCAGGTGGTGGTTGCGACTCTTGTTGAGGATAGGAGCCCAGACAGCACTGCAGGTTGGAGCGAAGTTTGGATGTTCAAGTTGGCGTAGTGACGTCGAAAACAATGCGGCGCGATTGCGTGCCCTGCACTGGGCGGGAACTGAGACAGAACTGCTTCTATCTGCGAAGTGGGGCGGCGCGGAAGTGTGAACAGCAAGGGGGCCTGCTTTCGCCTCGCTTTCAACCGCGTGGATCGTGCTAGTGATGGTGGAGTGGAAACAAGAAGTACTTGACATCAATCTGATGGGTGCGCCAATATGCCGTAATGCAGCGCCAAGTGCGGGAATTATGCGGTGATGCAGCGCCAAAAGAAGCGCCAGATGCGGTGAATCGCCAATTTATGGTGGCCCCAGTCCACCTCATCTGGCGGCTTGAGTTGGCTTTCAAATTGATGAAAATAATCGGGTCCATGGTGTATAAGGTCCCGAAGAAAAACCCAGGCATTGAAGCGGTCACGGCGCGACATACGGTCTTGATCGAGGGTTTCGGGATGAATGCGCATGAAGTCCATATCCGTATACACCGGGTACTAGTACTTGTCCTCTGGCTTTCGGTGAGGATTTAGATCGGAGCGCCGCCAAAGTTCTGACGCGCAGTCAAGATCTCCTGGCTTGAGATGTTGAAGAGGGAAGCTCATCCGCGATGTCATATGGATGAGTGACACAGTTGGATGCTCGACGGAGGAGAATGAGTGTTTCAAATTAATATCGACATTGTCATATGAAAATCCACTCTCTCCCTTAGTCGTGGATTCACGGACAACAGTCGTAGAGTCTTCGCTGAGACTAGTGATAGTGGTATCATTTGTGCTGGGTGAGTTGGATACACCAATGTGCGATGCAAAGTTTAGAACACTTTCCGGTGCATTGCATGCATGGAGAAATACACCGACAAGAGTTTGGAGAGTATTGCAATGTAAATTTCGATTGTTCATAATGATGCTCACACATACGACTTGTTTCTGTAGCGAGGATTAGCTGAAATCACCGAGCATGAAGAATGGGTTAGCACGCACCATCCGTACTCGTGCTACTCTCTGCCGTTCCAGAACATCCTCACGCGTCTCCACCTCGGTTGCTTCGTCTTCACCCTCTGCTATACCATCAAGCTCCATTGCTGCCGTATCCACTACTGATTTTCCCTCCCGTTTCCGATATTCAGTCCGTTTCCGGGCCTGCAGGTGTAGCTGCTCATCGGATGGGCTCAACAGCTTGCTGAGAGCCATCCAAAATGTAGGGGCATGCTTCTCCATCTGCAGTGCCATGTTTTCAATGTCGATCTCCTCCAATTGACGGATTTTTGCATGAGGAGGGTACACGAGAATGGTGGGAGTGGGACTCGTGCCAGTCCCACTCCCTTCCAATCTGTGGGACTCCAGCTATCAAAGTGGGATTCATGGCTGGTTGCTGTGATCGTCTCCAAGGCCGGCTGATGCCAGCTCAGGAGAGAGACTTAGCCGGCGTCGCGCAGCGAGCCTCCGCGGCGAGCGGCAGCCCGCGGCAGCGTGGGGTCCGGGGCGAAGCCCTGGTCGGGGTCCGGGGTGGAAAACCCCGGCCGCCGCGGCCGGCGCCGCAACCTAGAGTTAAAAGACAGTGAGTCATGCAAAAAGGCGGAAAAAATTGAAGGGAAGACGGACGATGCTCCGCGCAGCGGGCCCTGCGGCGAGCGGATGCCCCCGGCAGGGTGGGTCCAGGGCAACGCCCTGGTCGGGGTCCGGGGTGGAAAACCCCGGCCGTCGCGGCCGGCGCCGCAACCCAATGATCCACGCACGACACATCAGAAAGATGATGTGCATCAAGTCCCACTCTGATGGGACAAGTCCCACCAAATCGGCTTAACCGCTGTCAAACAGCACTGGGAGTGGGACTGGCGCGAGTCCCACTCCCACCAAACTCGTATATACTCAACTCTATGAGCGGCGTTGAATTTGGCGAGGGTACACGAGTTTGGTGGGAGTGGGACTCGTGCCAGTCCCACTCCCGCCCATCCGATGACTGATTGGTGTGGCTTAGCCCAAGTTTGTGGGATTGGAAGATTGTTGGCCATGCTTTACCGACGGCAGGAATTATGATGCGATGATGCGAGCTGTCACACCGCTGTCAGGCACCGCCACGACGGCAATCTTCTCATGCACCTACCACCACCGCTTGGCGACGGTCCGAACGGACAGACAAGCAAGCCTAATGGCTCTTCGACAACGTTAGAGTCTCAGCCTCGCCGACACGCTCGATTTGACTCTCGACATGCCACGTATGCAAGTACACGTGGCAGTGGCTAGCAATGTGCATGGCCGCTCAGCAAGCTTGACAAGCAAGGACTAACGCCGCATCAGTCAGGGTCGTCTCGCGCTTCAACGCATCGACTTCTGCACGCACACATGCTGTATCTCCATTCGCCATTCTTCTTCAATTCCGCTTCTTCCTGGACGTTCTCGCTCGAAAAAACACCAAGGACGGGGATCGATCCTAATCTAATGGTAGGGTCTTCTAGGTATATAACCTGGGTGGTAAATCGTTGCATCCAGTCACTCATACTCCCATCCAAGCCTTTCGCCACACTTACCAAAATACGATGGCCGATCAGACAAGTGCTGCTGTTGCTCAACTTTCAATGCGAGACCGCCGGGCGTACCGGGAATTCGTACGGCCCTATTTACCTCCACTCATGTGCGGTAACTGACAGAGACACAAGATGTTTCCACCCGAAATCAGCAACGCAACACACCAGCCATTCTTCTCGCTGGAGAACGCCGCGTTGTGGATTACAGCGTGGGGACTCGAGCTGTTCCTCCTCTGGGATGACTCCGAGGTCGACGTCGCCGCTTTTGACGCCGAAGCAATCCGTGGCGATGATCTTATATCGTTCCGTGACACGGTATGTCTGACCGACGAGTCGCTGTTTTCAATCTTTGATGATATTGTCTTCAGATTTTGCCTCCCGAATATGCAGTCCACGAGTTCTTCTCGCTGGACAACGCGATAGTCTGGGTCCTCCCGACCGCATATGCGGCATACGTCGCGTTTTCAAACTCCCGACAGCGTGGCCGGCCTGCCTTAATTCGACAGCGCGGCCGGAATGCATCTAGCCAGGCAACATCTCCAGCTCCCTCTCGTACGCGGACCTCATCAGCGTCGTCTCGCGCCGCCTCAGTGCTCTCCCGTCATTCCGAATTCGCTCTTCCGTCACGCTCAATTTCCCGTGCTAGCCACCACTCGCGGTTTCCTCCTTCGGTCGGTACTGGCAGCTCTTTACCCCCAACGCGAGCGGCCTCGATTAGCAGCTTCTCTCGCCAGTCATCTCGTCGATCGCTCTCCAATGACTCCGCCAAATCTCCTCGTTCTTCGTCAATTGACCCTGCCTTCATGCGTCGGTCACCATCCGCTGATGGTTACTTCCAGCAGCGACAGTCGCGCAGCCGATCTGGGTCACCCGACCGCAAAAATGAGCTAGGTATGCAGTGTTCTTTCCGATGTCGCTTTCTGATGTCGGAGCAGCCTTTCCCCTTCGCGTTCTTCTCCCCGAGGTGCCAAAAACGGTCGACTCTCCGGTACGGCGCAAGAAGTCACCTTCCACAGGTGGGAGAGGTAAGATTTTTTGTTTGTTCTACTGCTCCGGGCTGATATCTCCCAGGCCGACGAAGGGGCACGCAAGCTTCTCAGCCCAACGCTGGCCAGCGCTTCCAGATGACGCGCGAGCTCAGCGTTGAGCGAGTCATTGACATCGACTCAGTACCCCCCACATGGTCAATTCCGCGGGACGATGCGGTTTATCGTCTTAAACTCGCTGAACCACCAAATGTGCCGCAGGGAACAAACCGGAAACGCCAAAAGGCCAAGGAATGGACTATTGATGGGTATATCAAACACGAGGTAAGGATTGAAGCTACATCTCAGAACGACAAAAGTCTGATATCTGCCACCAGGACCAAGACTCGTGGGGAGGCGGTAGTGCAGGGCACAAGGATGGCGACGTCTGGGTCACAGGTTTTGCCGATGACCTGGATGTCGAGGTGTGGGCACGACGATCAAGCTACCATTGCAATGGGGTTAATGTATGCGAACTCGTACCCGATGAGATTTTCGCAGATTGCGAGCGGTACGATATTGATGTAAACGCCATGCGAGAGCTCTGGCAGCATGAGCTTGACTCGAAAGAGCGCGAAGCATCATCATATGGCAGTTTATTATTGCGGTATGGTGGATTTCGTTACTGCTTACTCTCAACTGACAGTTTCAAACAGGTTCTATGCCCGTGTCATGAACACCAAGTGTAAGCGCAAGGACTGTCCGGGGCATGCAATCATGATTCTCCTTTCCCATGTACGTGCATGATGCTGCTATTTGAGCTGCCGCAAGACTCATTGCAACAGGGCCCCAATCAGCTCGGCAAGATCTACTTTATTGGTTGCTCGGAATGGCATCCATCGCAGCGGTTTGAGCATATATACATTCCCATTCCCGCCAACATCAACGAAACCATGTTCAAATTCATGTTCGATAACAACGGCCAACTTCCGGCGGGGCTTTCGGTCACCGATTCAGACACATGCTATATCACTGCGCACCCGCGCGTGCACATGTCTGTCTGCCGTAGGTCTCACCATACTGTATACATGCTCCGCCTATGCTAATGACCTGCCTCTAGCTGCGGGACACTCGGTAAATGGCTTTGCGATAGTCCCCAAGATTATTCCGCGGCCATGTCTCGCCGAAATTATCATGTTCATTCCTGCTCCATTTAAAGGAGTTGCGCCACCCGCATGGCTCGACAATATCTGTTTAGTTTACCTTCGCAATTTCCACAACCACCCAGCGCATCCACACAGTAAGCCGAGTGTTGAGGAGGAGGCGCGATTGGAGGCAGTGATCAATGCCATTGGCGTTGAAGGACTTACGGTGCAAAGGCTGATAAATCGTCTGTGCTTACCGCATCACAGAACTCTCCGCTGACCGTTTTAGATCCGTTAACCATTGCTGAATACAACGGTGAACGTCTCGGGAAGGCTAGTCCGAGAAATTGATGAAGCACTTGATGTTTTGCGAAAGGGTGAGCTTCGAGGAGCGCGAATTCCGGCCCGAAGGGACTTGGACGCCGGCTTAGAGGTTGGCTCGGGGTTGGAGGTCAGCACGGCGCTCCAAGTAGGTACACTGGACATGGCCGCAATCGATGATTTTGGTAAGTTCCAATCCAGAATAGAGCTGTGAACTGATTTTCGGCAGACTTTCAAATGAGTCCAAGAACGGCCTCGGCGATTGCACGTGCAATGGACGAGTATGAAAGAGAACACGGGGCTGTGCTCACGTCGGAGTTGGCGACCTTAGCCGCCCCTGCGAGCATGGTAGCAATGCCGCCCGCAGCATCTGAGCCTAATGGCGGCTACACTGGCATACCACGCATGGATGCAAGCGGTTTGGAATCACTTTCGTCTCCGGATGGCCGGACCGAAGTGTCTGGTGACACTGTTGGTCTTCTTGACACCAGAATCGTGGCTGCACCGACTGAAGCAGAATCACTGACAGAGGCTGCTCACCCTGCGGGCCCGTCCACCTCTGACACAACTCCAGAGGAGCCTCGGAAGCGTCGTCGTGCTGCTACCACAACAAGTGAGTCCGAGATCCTACCAGAAGGGCAGAAGCGAAAGCGGAAGGACAGTCGGAGATTGAAACAGTTGGCATATTACGAAGAGGATTGATGTGTACATAAATATCATGATTCAAAACATATTTGACAAGTCTAATCAAGCAGTGATGATGATGATCACTTGGCCGGGGTGACGTTAAATGAACTTGGTCCCACTTATTTGGGTGAATCCCACTAAAACATGTTGATTGGTGGCACTCAGCCAGCAGAGTGGGACTGGCGCGAGTCCCACTCCCACCATCCGCGTATATACTCGAATTTGGCGTTGGGCTGTCGGATGAGAGTTTCCAGCTCAGCCGCATAGACAGCGTTGGCTGTGGGCCCAACCCAGTGGAGGGTGGCTATAGACGTCTTATTGGATTTCAAAAATGCGGCCAAGATGACCTCGGGTTGTTGGAAGAGTGCTGCAGCTCGCGCATCATGCTGAAAAGTGACAGCGTTGTCGAGGAGGAAGCAGACCACATCAGACAGCGTGGTCTTAGCTGTTGAAATGGCATCGAGCACATCCATGCATTGTCCAAGAGTGACAGGGGCCATAGGTGGAGAGGGAGGCACGAATGAGCTTGCGGCAAAAGCAGATAGAGACTGCCAACCGGGGATAACTTGACGGACCGATGCGGTCCGGGTTAGCTGGGCCAGCCGTCTTGCAGAGCGCTACCACCCCAATAATCTAACGTAACTTCGGAAAATGTCGGGAATCAATTGATCAACTGTCTACTCTGACTAGGAATCCACTTGCGTAGCTCTGCAACGACGGGTGGTTTATGAGCCTGCCGCAAACATTGTTTTCATCATATCAACCTGTGAGTTATCAAGCGCTGAACGGTGGCTGATGGATACTGAGAAGCTCGTTAGCAATGAATTTGTGTCAACGAATCAAAAATTATATGTACCTGGAAATCGGTCCTGGATGAATTGAGGAAGCTGCGAGAGAATCCACGGATCAGTCCCCTGGAACGTCCTCCCACATCCACGAGAGTTCGTTGCACGATTCGGGCAGTAGTACCGTTTAGTCAACAGGAAGTAAGTAGTCTGATCCCGCTGTTGTACAGACACGACGAGCAATAGGGCGTTCATTATAACCTTAAAAAGTCAGCATGTAATTAAATCCTTGAGTGTGAATGCTCACTATGACGATTCAAAGGCTGACCACATTCACAGTAGAAGTGGTCTGGATGGACTGGGAGGTAATCGGGAAGCCAGAGGAAGATGGGTAGCCGATAGAGAATGTCGGGTGAGAATGCAGACATTGCTGCATCTCGTAGCGCGAAGATTGGGTCCTTGGGATAAATCCATAGCTGGCCGTCGCGGTAAACCTTAGGCTGACCCTGACGGGCTATCTCTTCTTTCACTCGTTGTAGCGTTTCAGAAAGCCATTGGTCATTTATAGACTCGTGTTGAGGGACTTCAGCATTGTCTTGTTCAGTATCGAGCTCTCCCTCGTCATCGTCCCCTTCATCTCCCTCACCCAAGTCCCCATCCTCTTCGTAGCCGTCCCCATCCTGCTCAGCACTCTCCTCCAGCACCAGTTCCTCCATTCGTGGCGTATCCACCGTGTCCAGCTCTGCTTGCAGTGCTGTGATTGTTTCGTGGACAGTCGTTGGCGCTTCGAGCCCGGAATCAGGGGCTAGACAGCGTTATTATCAGGCAGCATTCAACATGAAGCTTGATGAAGACGTACCTGGCGCCGTTGCTGCCGCCATCGAGTGGGTGCCTTGAGGTGCACGGGTTGACCAGAAATTCGCAAATGTATGGCCGGCAGATACCAGGCTTGATGCGATCTTCACCACGGCTGAGCGCTTCCTCGAGCCTTGGGCCGGTTCCGCGGCGGGTTCTGATTCTGCAGCTAGAGACTTTGCGCGAGAGAAGAGCCGCTTCTTCTTCTTGTTCTTGGAGCCAGGAGGGCGGCCGGAGCCAGCGCGAGAGCCCCCATGACCGTTCGAGTTCGTAGGCATCGCTGCCGTGGCTGGCAGCATCTGTCAAGCGTGGATTTGGCGAGAGAACGACGAGATACAGCGAACGGATGGAAATCAAGGCTTATGTGTGACAGAAGTAACAAATGTAACGCTGCATCAGCACGTGCGATGGCCTACGTAGACTCTTGCCTAATCGGGCATGAGCCTGACAGCTTGGCCCATGAACCTATAGTTGGAATTTGCAGTGCGGAAATCATCAGCCCGAATGCCAATGTACGCACCCGGATTGGTGCGGACGGAGCTCGGGTTCGGATGCCGATAGAACACCGTACACAGCCACGCGATCTGCATGGTTGCGTAGTTAATTACCCACACAAGAATCCGGGCAGCGCGAAGGCACTCGTCCCGCGTCTCGTAGCGCCGGGTGACAATGGTGTTGCCGTACTGAAGCACCATCAAGATTCCAGGAGTTCGACCGTGGCGCGTACCTAGGCTGCGGAAACCCGCCTCCGAAGTGTCGAACGGCACCAGGCGACGCCCATCGTGATGCCAAGGTATGTCGTCATTGACAAGACAGTTGATGAAGTCCGCGCGTATTGCAACAGAAGGTGGTCATGTCAAATTTTGACATGCCGCCAGCGTTGCCGACCGCCAAGCGAGGACCCCAGCCTACCGTGGTACCCTCGGCTATCTTGCCAGCCTATCACGTGACCGTCCACGTCACTCAGCCACTTCTCCCATCTCCACTCTGCGTCAAGTCCCCGGGCCCACATTGGGCAGAAGCTCGCCATATGATCGACGCTCAACTTACCAAGGAAGCACCATTCCGACTCCACGCAAACCCCAGTGCCAGACTGCCAGTGGCCTTTACTTATCCGCGGCCACGGCTGGGCACATCTCTTGCTTGTGCTGCGTCTCGGCACTCTGTGGTGGGCTTTATCATAGGCAATAGCCGCTACCCTGCTTCTCCCAAGCGTCTCCCTCCCTTCGTGAGCGGCGCGGCGAGCCCCCAGGCGGCAGAAGCTGAAAACTCGGCGCCCAGACCCAGCCTTGCCAACCACGCGCCAAACGGCGGTCCTGGAGCCGATTCTAATGTCTCGCCGCCCTTGTTGATCAATTTCCTCCAGAACAACTTTATGAGCACGAACAACAATGATCCAACAACCATCCCCGCCATTGAACACTCTTGCGCTTGCAGCTGCGAGCGCGGCCTGCCCAACGCTGAGCCCCCAACTCTCAGCCCAAGACTTGCGCAACGACACTGTCTCCGCGCCACCGACGTGCCATCTCCGCCCCAGCCTAACTCAGTCCTCGTCGTCTAATTCGCTGGAGGATGCCTCATAACGATGAACACAGCAACAAGACTGACCTAGCCGGAAACCTGCACCGCCAACACCAAGCAGGCCATCGAGCAGGGCGACGACAATATTGCCCACTCCGGCGGAACACACCTGACATCGGATGGTCGTCGCCGGTGAGTGATTGGAGAATGTTCTTGCCGTCCTTTGCGCTGAAGGGCATTCACGTCGTGGTCATCGTTCGTCACGAGCTTCTGAAATGTGAGTGGTATTTATTGCAAGTGGTACAACTCAGTGCTCACCGTTGTCACAGATATTGTTGCCTTGAGATCTAACAACAAGTCAGCGATGGTACCGCGACTGCAATGAAGTAAGACGATGGCTGCTAGAAGAAACGCTCGAGAAACGCAGAACATTGGCAGACGTACGGCGGGATGCACCTCGGGACTCGGACAACACGGTTGTTGTTGTTGAAGATATTGGGCCCCGACCAATGCGAACATGGCCATGGTCGCGATCCGAGTCTGCTTGACGGCAAGGGACATTTGAAGCCGCAAGCGCAATATTCACTGTGGGGCGGTCCATCTGCGCCACCGACGCCGAGCGCCCAGTTCCGGCCTGAACGATCCCGATTCTGCCATTATACCCTTTCCACAACATGATCATCTTCCGGCACAACCAGGCGAGGCATGTTTGGCAAAGAACTTCGCTATTGCACGCTGGCGGCATGTCAAATGACCACCTTCTGTTGCAATATGTGTGGGTATATTGAACTTGAATTCCAAGTTTAGTAGTAGTATGTAGTACTACTAGTAGTATGTAGAATTTAGAAAACAAAATAGCTGGTTTTCTTCAGGCTTGGTGAGATTAAGAATTGAATATGTTGGCAGAGTATTAGTACTTACCACTAGGCACATTCTCCCCAGCTGCTTCAGGGGTATCCTCCGGGACGACACAGGCCAATGCCGCTAGCAGCCCGGACGCCGGCCACATTCATGATAAGTCTCGGCTCCGAGTCTCCGGATCCACCAACGCCAAATTCTGCCCACCGCTATAGGCGCACAGTAAACTCGGACCGACTGGGATGCGACAAGAATGAATGTCGGATAACAGACTCCGATAACTTGAAATGGCCCGGGAACAATGCAAATGATGAGCCTGAGCCCGTGTCGATTGTGCGACGGTGGGCCATGGCCAGCCACTTGGACGATGTTGTGGCACTGGCATATCATCTGAGGCTCAGGAGCCTCTGCATCTGGAGGACTGGAAGCATCGCCGACCGTGGTCCGTGGCGCCGGACACGGCTGATTCCTATCACTGGGGTCCTGATCACTTGGCATGTGAAGTCCCCCCATCGCCTAACACCCGGCAACGCTGGCGGCATGTCAAAATTTGACATGACCACCGTCTGTTGCAATACGCGCGGGACATCAGCGCGGCGTAACCAGCAGCAGCAAATGGAGGATTTGGCTTATGGCTTATGTCAGTTGTCGGGGTCTAAAATATCAAGTTTTTCAAGAGGGAAAAGAGAGAGAAAAGAGAGAAAAGGGAGGAACATTGTAGCGTACCTTGCCAATCCAATGCACCAGTTTCCCTGCTTGATTGTGGCCCTAGACGCGTAAAAAATCACTAAGAGCGCTGGATATCAAGCTGGCGGGTTGGCGGGCTGATGGCCGGATATCAAGTTATCGCAAATGGGGACGACTGCCCGAAAGAGTTAAGCCCCAGCCAATGAAAATCAAGATATGAATAGCTCACCTCGGACTTTGCGACGCGAGGCCGCCCGACGGGATCCGAGCCGGTGTTACGGCGTTGTGACCCAGCGCGACGCCGCGAAT